GAGATTGGACCCTGAAATTCCTTATCAGGAAAAACTCTTTGAAGGGAATTTACTAAACAAAAGGGGTTAACAGAATAAGAATTTGCTGGATCTAAAATTAATGCTCCAAATTAATTTCTATTTCCCCTTCAGTCAGAGCTGGCTGTCAGGTACTTTCAAGGAGTTTTCTTTGAGCATGTGCAATTTTCTCTTCCCTTTTCTTAAAAAGAAATTGACGGTGTTTCTGCACTACTAGCTCTATCTACCCTTCAGCAATTTTGCCCTCCTAGTTCTTTATTTTGTAGATGACTAATATTGTCTCTCCTCATCTTTCTCATCCTCATCTTGCTTCCAGCTCTCATAAACACTGTCATTGCCTTGGTTCTGTGGCCCACATAGCCTTTGACCAGACTAAGAGTGTTACAGAACCACGATAGCATTGCTGGGGAAGCAAAGGAACTTTAATAACAAGATCTTTTTATGAGAGAAGGTAATCTTTCTGGGAAAGAACAAATAAACTTGTTCTTTGTTTTGAAATTTCTTCTGTTTATTTTCAGCTAAACCCCATATTTTTCCCATGTTGTTAAATGTTTTCAGGTGCCTTTCTTATTTTTTTATGGTTGCTATGACTTTAACATTCATCAAAGCCGAGCAGCTAAAATTGATTTGGTTTAGACATAGCAATAGAATGAGTCATGTCAGTAAACTTATTCAACCATTTACTGAAGTCTGGAGCCTCATATGTGTTTGTAGTACACACGTGCTTGAGAGGAGCCTTGCCCAATGGCTGCCCTGACAAAAACATTCTTTGGGTCCCTTTCCACTTGTGACTTACTCTTGCTACTGCTGAGGACTTGTGACATTGCTCTGACTTGTTTTGGCATCTACAACGACTTGGTGAAAGAGGGCAATGGTAGAGCTTAGTTTGGGAAGGAGAAAATAAGAGCAGCATCGCCAAGTTACCCTTTGTGCCCTTGATGCAGGAGTCGGGTTGGAGAAAAATATGGGTAGCATTCTGGCAGGTAGCTCAGATGAATTAATATATTGACACTTTCTTGAAAGAAATGCAAGTCATAAGGGCTGTATGGGTTCCCCATGAGAAGCCAGTTTTGTTTGTCATGATGTCAGAGAGAAAGATGACAAAGTTGGATTGTGTCATGCATTAATCCAGAATGTGACCCCTGGTTTATTTATAAAATTAAGCAAAATATATGCTTAGAAATCATATTTATTTAACTAAAATCTTATTAACTTGTTTCAAGGTGAAATCAACTATAGTTCTTTGTCTTCAAATGACCAGAAGACCATTTGAATGGATCATTTGAATATTACCTGGCTGAAACTTTTAAAGGTTTTTTATGTCTATGCTATGGCTGCTACAAATGACTCTTGCTCAGATATACTATGAAAAGATCAAGAACATAGCAAGTATTTCTGAGTACTACAGAGGCACAGATGGGGTAGCTATAGTTGTTCTGGAAAGGATGTGTCTGAATTTCATAAATCTTATTCATTCAACCATACTTTTCTAGGAAAAGGACACCGCCACTGAGTGCCCAGTTTTTTTGAGCTCAGTTATCCTGACTGCATGTACATAGAGCTGAAAACAGACTACATGTCAGCTCTAGCAATACGTTTAATTTGGTGGTCAACAAATCACAGGAAATGCTCTTCCCCTAATCTTGCCAATACATTTCCACAAGCTTTCTCCCAGTAACCACATTATTTCTGCTACCCAAATCACTGTAGTTCTTTGAACTGCATTTTCACGTGGCGACTGGTGGCTGTAGAATAATGTCTTGAATGTAGATAGGCGGGTGTCAACAATGTGACTGATTCTTGGTGGCAGAAAGTCTGTGTGCGGTGCTTGAATGTAAAGATGTGCACAAATAGGCTGTGGTAAATGCCAGTATGCTCGCTTTTTCTGGTTAGACTGCTATAATAAGAGCATATGGAAAACATGGCCTGCATCTTTCTGTTGAATGATAAAAACAGTTATTATTGCTGCTTTTGAACTAAGGTGTACCTGTAAAATTGTATTCACGGGTGCTTCCGGGGAACAGGGAAGTTTTAAGTGGTTTGAAGAGATACAATTTACAACTATGCTGATATCATGAAAAATGAGGAGCCTTACGAATCTTACACATGGATCTAGTAAGTAACCTTGAACTCCTGTAGTCCTTTTAGCAGGACTGGAATACAATATATATTATCTGAAGCAAATTATTTTCTTGTAATATGTCTGTCACAAAGACAACATAGCTGATCTTCTGAATACAAATAGTTATTATTATTATTATTATTACTGCCAAACTTCAGGAGATTTCAGCTGATTTGTTCAGGCAATCATCTCAGGATCTCAAACTTGAAGGAGATATCAATGCAATCTGATGCAAAGTGAAACAGCTGAGTTTTGTACACTTCAACCCAAGTATCTGTGGGGACCCACTGAAGCAGTACTGGCTGTAGTGAAACACTTCTAAAAGCAGCCTTGAGCTAGTCTAGCTACTTTTCAGAGTGTGGTACATGTGAAAAAAACATCTTTGTACAGGTTCAGTAGTATTCTTTGGCACACTGACATTTTTGTAAATTATGCCTTTTGCATTTAATATTTATGTGGAATCTGTTTGTATGTTAGTGTTTATGATGGAATAGGTTCAAAAGGTTTGGAGTTCCAGATTCAGCTAAGCATTTAAAAGGTCAGAGGCTTGTCCAAGGCTTATCCAACCTCTCAAGTATGAAAACTCAGAGTGGAAACAGTTTGATGGGAATAACATATTGCCCTCAAATGGAGCCTTCTAACCTCTTTTGTTCCTTTTTTTTTTCCTCACTTCCATTTCCTTGTTTCTGTGGAATTCCTGAAGTAGGATCATCCGTTAGACTAGGCCTTAACGCCCTCTTAAGTCATACATTTCCTAAGGCTGATTACTTCTACAAACCCCGCAGATGCTAAACCAGGTCTGGTTTACTCAAATTTTTACCCTGCTACCCGGGACTATTTTATATCTACTGCATTATGTGATTTTTATGCTGTTTTATTATTTTTTACATAAACTTTTGATTGAAGGAATAGGTCTTATTCCTGGAGTGGAAAGCCAATAAGGCTGGTGGCTTCTGCATCCAGAAGAGCTTTTTGTAGTTCTGTAGAGGCTGCAAAGGAAATTGTGTCTCTTGTCCAAGAAAGTTTGCCCTTACCGTAGGCAACTCAATCATCCCTCTGGGAGCACACTGGGAAAGCACTCTTCACTCTCCAGCATTATTTTGATGTGAATGTGAGCAAGAGCAAAAGAACAAAATTAAATACAAATTTTAAAGTATTTCTTTTCTCAGGCTATCGAGTTAGATTCTTCTGGTTTTTTCTGCTTATACTTAAGATGGAAATAATGGCAAGAGAAATTCCTTGGTGACAATTTGGTGCTTTCAACTGGAGCCACTTGTTACAGAGGATAAGACAACTTTTTTAAATCTCAGTTAAGTTCGATTCAGGATTTATACAAGTATTGGATTAATTTGGAATCCAGATAATCCAGATCTGAAAACACTCAGTCTTTGGTGAATTTGAATTGTCTCTTTGGAATCTAAATTACTTTCTCCTCATTAAAAAAAAAGAAAAAAAAAAAGAAAAAAAAAAAGGCTCATACAAAGTACTTCAGGATGACAAGACATTTAAAAATCGATTTGGCATTTTACCATGTGAAATTGTGCCCCAGAAGGTAGTGGCACCATGTGGGATGGGAGTGCTCTGTCTGTTTTTCTGTCTGATAGGGCCTAAGCAACCCCTTACCTGCTCTCCTCTTGCTTGCTCTGCTTTGTTTCTCCTTCTTTGATGGGTAGATTTTTAATGCTGATTATTTACTAGTTGATTTGGTTTGGTCTAATTGTTCTTTTTGTCACCTCAAAACCCCATGACATGACCCTGCATGTTCATGACATGCAGGGTCAGCAAAGAAGGCAGAGGGAGATTCTTTGTCTCTGAAACTATGGGCACAATGAGAAAACAGTACCCAACTGGAAACTACCACCACGTCTGTTTTCTTTACTGAAATGCTTTATTCTGTGAGAGCATATAAAAAAGTAGAGTGCCACAAGTTTCATGAATAAGTTCTCACAGAAAGTATAAACAATTAGGAAAACTGTTGCTCCACTCATATTTGTTTTCTCTTTCTGTCTGAGTGGTAGTCTTAAGCCTATGTGAATTACTGTGACAGGGAAGGCCTGCCAAGCTCTCTTTCTGAATTGTACTAAAATGTCTCTGGAATCTGCTCTGTGTGATGAAAGCACAGACAGTACTGTTCCTCCAACTCTCACAAAATAGGTTGGTAAATAAAATGTATGACCACAAGAGGTGGGGGGGTGGGGGGGAAGGAAAAAAGGGATGAAGCCATCAGTCAGACTAATTTAAAGAATGGACACCAAAGAATCCATGGTCATCCACAAATTATATAATATTTTAGAAGTTTTCTTCACCAAATATTTGTGACAGAACGCAATACTTGTGGTATGCTGCCCAAAGAATGCATATGTTAAACAAATGTACCAAGTAATAGGAAATTTGTGGCCATTTATCTTATAAACCTGTTTCCTGTTTTAGACTCAGTGGGTCAGAAACTCACTGCTGTAAACTACATAGATCTAGTGACTTCTAATTTATAGCAACTGAAAAGAGGGTCTAGGAAGAGTCTAAGCAGGATTTGAAAGCCTCACTTCTGTCTACAGTGGTTTTCAACTTTCCATACAGGACAAATAACAAAGCTGTATCTGAAATAGGGAATGACCTATGCTAGTGGCTATGGATTGACCTAAGCCAATTTGCCCCTTTACACATGTATGCTCTGGAAAGGCCGTTTTTAAAGGGTTTTAGAATTTTGTGGTTGAAATTTTTTTTTGAGGCAGAGGTGACAAATAGTTTTGGAGATTATAGTGGTGTTTCCAAATACAGCAGTCTCTGCTTTAGCCTTAGGTGGGGGAGTTTTCCATTTCCCTTTCAGCTTATATTAAATTACTTTCCTTTCTTGTCATAGGCATAATCCTTTGATGGGAAAACCTTGACGGCCTTTCAGAAGAGGAAGAAAGCCCTCCTCTGCAGAGTCACCAGGGACTGGCTATTACTAATTGATTCTACATGGAGAACACACAGTGGTGACAGCCATCAGTCTGAAACAGTGAGACAAAGAGTTTTTTACCTTCTTTGAAGTGCTGTGTGCAGGAGCGCTTGGAAATATAAAAAGTTTCTCTTTGCCTGCTGAGGTCTTCTGTGCCACAGGTCGTGTCAGGGTGATTTGTTCTGTGCATGTTGGGAAGGATAAGGATGGAGGGATGACCTTGGGGGGACAACCTTCACGTGTAGCACTAAACTCACTTCTTAGGTGGAGAGGAGCTGGTCAGGCCACTGGACTCTAAGATTTGTCCCAGTTTTAGAGTAGTCCATGCAATGGCCATGAGATGCCCCTGTCTAAGGCTTTGATTTCACTTAGAAATCTGTCCAGCGGAACAATTGGCTGCAAGTGCAAAATCATCGTTTGTCTTGCCTGCTGCTGATAGGTGAGATTCCCAATGGGAATGGAGCTATGCTCTTGCTAATTCAGCCTGTGTCTCAGGCATGGGCAGTGAAGAGGTGGTGGACAAGCAATTCTGGCACAGGGAACAGAACAGGTACAGAGGAGGCAAGCACACCAGCATGGCTCTTGGGGCAGGTGCTCCCCAGAGCCAACAGCCTCCAAGCTGCCAGGGCACTGCAGAGGTTGCCCCAGGTTTCAGTAGATGTAACCCAGACTGCATCCTGCTCTCCCAAACCAACTCCAGCTCTCTTTGCTGGCACTTGCGGGTGGGTTCTCAGCTGTTCTCTTCTGCAGCTGACAGGAAAGGTTTCCCCAGCCTGGTACAGAGTGTGCAGGGTCTTCCTGGTCTGCTCCTGTGCTCTTTGTTTTGTAAAGTGGAGGGAAGAAGATTTCAATTTTGTCGCAAGGCAATGAAATCATCCTTCTCTGGGAAAAATACTGCCAGCCTACCTGCTGTCTGCTGCAGCCTAGTGCAGTACACCAGCAATTTATTTCCCCTTGGGCACTACCATTGCAAGGATGGGCACTGTCCATAGCAGCAGATGAAACCTACACATGGCATAGAAAGCTGTATTCCACCTTTCCTACTCCTCTCTGAGTGACCCAGCCATGCACCCCCAGCAGTGCCCACACAGGGTTGCAGAAGGCTTGGGAGGGACAAGCATCTTGCTGCTCCAGTCGGCCTGTTTGCTGGCGTAATCCAATGTGCTGTGACAGCCCTTTACTGGGCTAGCAAAGAAAATAAATACTTTTCAGAAATTGCTGCTGATCTAAGAGATGAAACTGAGAAGCTGATAATAGTGAGCGGTTATGAAAGGCACGTGATGGTAATTCAGTACCTTGGCAGCCTCCTCTCTAAAGAAAACAGGACATTCCTGGCACACCAGGTAACACTTTGCTTTAAAGGTACTGCCACAAAAGGCTGCTTAACTTCTAAAACACACACAAAACACCCAGCCCACATTGTGAGGACCAGATAGCAAAATGTTCAGATATCCTGTACAAGTTAACAGGGGCTCCTGTAAGTATGAAGAGTGATATGTTTAATGGGGTCTGACCTTCAGCTTTGGGGTTGTGTTTGTTCATTGTACATTAATTATTTCATATAGTTAATCTTGAATGGACCTATAAATGCCGTACTTGTCTTCATATGACCTAAACATATATCTAGAGAGAAATGTCATTGAATGTTGGGAGAGTTATAAAATTGAATGAAATATGCTTGAAAATGGAGTTTGTGAGGAAGGAATAACTGATTTGACTTAACAGTCTTGCATGATTTCAAAATCTAGATTTGAGTCTGTATGTAAAAAACATTTGTCTTGGACTCATTTCAAGTAGATTTTTATTTCTTATGAATGGCATGATTTAGAAGTCCTTTCCCAATCAGTTAACTTGAAATTAACCACAGCACTCACATCTCAGAGTTTCAGAGTTCAACTGAAAGGTGTTTTCAACAGCAGTATTTAAAATTATCCTAGTTTGGTGGTTGCCTCTTCTGAGCTTTAAGAATAGCACAGGCTGTGGTAGCTGTGTCATGGATGGAACAGGTCAACACCCACGGTTTTCAATGAGTAGAAAATTTTGATGTTTTGTGGTTTGATCTTCTGAAAATAAGTGTGACAAGTAGATTAGTAAATAAACTTAGCAAGACTGAAAATTAATTATTATTTTTATTCCTATTAGTATTTTCATTTGACTACACCAAAAGATGCAATCATTTACGCAGCTCTAATTCTGATGATATGAGATTTCTTTTACAGAGTATTTGCTTTTTATTTATTTTTGTTAGTAAAAAAACTAAAATGTCTTGCCTGAAAGGGAAAATATTTGGATTGGAATTGAACTTTTCTGCTGCTCTGTAGGCATGAGAATTGCCGCTATGGGGTAGGCTCTGCTGACAGATGGCATTCAATGCACTCGAAAGCCAGAGCTTTTCTAGAGAGCCCCTCTGAAAAAGGAGAAGCTCTTGTACAACAACTTGTCAGGTGAAGATCCACAAGTATTAAAGAATTGTATTTTCATTGTGTGTTAAGACTTTGCTTGACTATTGAAATAGTGTCTGAAATATTTAGGATTTTTCTAAAACAACTGTTTTGGAAAGATAACATTTTTTTCTTACAATTTGCAAAGGAAATATTCCAACATTCTGTTTGAATTATTTGCAGTTAAGTACAATAAGATAATGTACTGTTTTTAATAAACACATAAAACATGTTACTAGTAAAGATGGATATCTCAGGAGTAAAACATAAAAACTGGCACATGTAAAGATCTGTCTCAGCTAATCAAGTGTAGCTTTAAACAATACATTTTGCTTCTTAATTTTTCCACTATGGAAAGCAATTATTTTTTAATGTAAATGAGGATGCACTTGATATTGCTACCTCTGTCTAGTCAAGTGTGTTTGCCTTATGTTTCTGAAAATAACCCCACTTCAAAGATTCAGTAGTAATTTTTGAGAGCAGCTTAAAGCTCCACAGTATTTTCAGAGCACTTGCAATCAGTTCAGTACAAACTAGGTTTACCTTTCAAGGATCATCTATTATAGCATTTATACATGATGTCATCATTACATCTGGTTTCTCCATGATGTCAAGAAAAGAAGTCTCTCACTCTGGAAAACCTTTGACTTTCAGAGCTTGCAGACTCCCAGGAATTGTTTACCTTTCCACAGGGAATGGGTAAGTGAACAGCACCATGCTCTAGGAAGGTAGCATTCAACCTTCAGTCTTGTGCTGAGCTTCGTGGTCCAGCCTGTCCCATGCAAATACAGGAGATGGGATCTCACCAAATCCTCTGATGTGTTTGGATGTGTGCTTCAGAGGCAGGCTGGGGAGCAATGAGGAACCCACCACTTCATCTTGTAAGGTGGGAACTGACAGGGAGCAGAGGGCTGGGATGGGCAATACCTTGGAGATCTGCCTTCTTCTCCTCAGGTCTTCTCATTCTATATCTTTGTGCTTTTTTTTGCAATCTCCTGGGAAAATAGGTAGAGGGAAGAAGGCTGATAAAACACCCCCTTAAAAACTCCCTGTATTTCATGCTGGTTTTATTGCTGTTGGGGGTTTTGACATGAGGGATGTGTCATTCTCTGTCTTTTTCTGCAGCAGATATGAACAAACCATTGGCAAAATTTTTTAAAATATTATTATTGGCCTAATTTTATGAAGGATTAAGTGTGCAGTGGCATGCTTTCTCGTGCTCCCTCTGAAAATTAGAAATAAATCAATATTTTTGAGTGTTTTAGCTGGAAATCGAGCATAAGATACTGCCTGTGACATGAAAATTGTCCCTTTGGGACTCCAGATACCTTTTCCGTTACTTAAATCTATAAGGATGGCAAAGCCTGGAGAACCACTGATGTAGTTTCTGGTTTGGGAAACAGGGGTGGCTGAAGTTGTTTTTATAGAATGGGGAAAGTGCTGTTGTCACCCCTAGCAGCTGCGTCCCTTAGTATATCCAACTGCAGCAGCCTACAAAGGGATTACAGAGGGAGAGACACAGAAGCTGGGGCTCTGGTCTTCATTCCTTTGATTGAAACATACTCTGTTGCTTTCTGAAGTTCAGCCTGGGCCTGGCTCCATCTTCTTCCTTTTCTGATTCACTGATTTAATTCACACAGGCTTTTGGCTCCCCAACAAATGCCTGCTGATATTAATAAAAATCCCCCACTTGATTCAAAGGGACTTTGTGTCAGTCTCCTGAGATACATGGACTAAAATTATTCCTGATACCTTTAGGAGAAAGCGTGTTGGATGGAAATATTTTCCCATCCCACCTGCCTAGCCTTGGCAACTTGATTCTCTGTGGTGCTCTGAAAAAGAGCCTTTGGACATATCTTTTCGTCTCTGTTAGAAGCATTTTTGCCATCTTAGAGACATCGCTTTTTTTATATTGTGGTGGAACCCACAGAGAACTTCTGTCAAGTCACGTGTTATAATTTGTGTTTGATTATGAGCTGCAGCTTGTTTGAAAATGGAACCCAATCTTATAATGCAGAAGTTTTCACTAAGCAATTGTCAAAACCCAAAGTTGTAGATAGATAATTTCACAGTAAGTGAACTTTCCTGAACATTCATTGTCAAGATAATACCATAGCATTATTTAAATGATACTGGCTGGACTGTAACATATGTTTGCTCTCCTAAGATATTAATCACCAATACACCACAGAAAAAAAAATCTGGCTTATTTTTGTGCTGTATCAACTAATTTAAACTGACTTTCTTAACACTGGTTGTTATTAAGGATTTCTAAATAATCAGTACCTGCTTTCTCATTCTTTGCACAACATTCTTTGAAACCATTTGACAAAAACCCGGAAGGTGTGTGCACAGAGCCTCATTTGTGCATGTGATTGATGGTGAAATAACCCAGAATAGCGAGTTGCACTCTAGATTTTTTGGTAAAGCAAGAAAACTACAAAGACCGGGCTAATTTGCAAATCTGAGCACATAAACCTCCTTCACGCTGTACAAGTCTTACATTATCCAAATCTCAACTGACATGCTTTTGATTTCTACCTGTAGGCTACCAACAGTTTCTTGGATAAAAAGTAGCAAGTCAGTTCTGTTCTAGTCACTTCCATGAAGCCAGAGGCATTTGTACCTGTGAATAGAGGGGAAAGACTGAACTAGAGATAAGAATCTGGGAATGGAGTCAACTGCACTGACAATGAATTTATAAGTTCTGTTGTGAGCCCAGTAATTACATTGGCTCATTGCTCCCTTGTAAAATCTCAAAGAGCAGTACTCCCAAGCGCTGTCACTCTCATTCCCACATCTCTTCTGCATAAAGCAATAATCCTTTTACAAAACTGATTTTAGGAGGATGACCTTGCTCCTCCTCTTCCTGCTATCTGACATAGGCACGTGGGGTCTCTGTCTACAATAAACTGTGGGAAAATGCTCTTTTCAGACCTCAGCTGACATCTCTGGGGAGTGGGTTTCTATCCTCCTCCATATCTCCCTGACCTTCATTTTATTTGGGGATCACCAATAGACTCAGTGGGTGTCTAAGAGCTGTGCCCTGGGTGATGGGTTCAGTAGAACTCTGTATGGCACAGCTGGAGCTCTCAACAAGAGCCCCTCAGAGCAGCCACCCATGGTTGCTGGCCCTGTGTTGAGTCTGCCCCTTTCTGGAGACAATCTCCAGCTGGGGCAGGAGGGAAGTGGAAGAACACTCCTTTGGCTTGGAATTATGTTTTGTAATTTCTGGTCTCCAGCTGCTCCTCGTCTCTCTTCCAGATGCAGGCCTCTGTCCCTTGTGCCCTGGCCTATATGGAAGGATGATCTGGTGAGCACAGCCACAATGAACCTATAGAGACTCTGAGCCCCAACCCAGCCACACACTGCCTCTTCCCAATGGGCTGGTATGGCTTCCACTGATCTCAGCTACTGAGAGTTCTTGTTCTCTTTTAGCAGCAACAAAAAAATAAATGTAGAAAGCATTCACAAATTACCCATCTCTTGCCCATTATCATGCCTGTGTTTTTGCAAAGCACAAAGCCAAACCAAGGCTGTTGAAACTGCTCATTAGATCTGTCTCTGCCACGTTGTAAGACAGCTGCAGTGTTCCTGGTGAAGTGATTAAGTGGTTTTTGGAGCTTGGTAATGTAATGCAGATACTTGGACCTCCAGGCTATTTGTTAAGTAGTCTTGGTCAGTGGTAACCAGAAGTTAGTGATTAACAGACATTATTGTCCACTTAAAACAAATAGGCAGTCACAGCTCCATTCCCAATAATTCAGCTGTCTCATCTAAAAAGCTCACTTATCCAAGCAAGTAGTATTCTTGTGCCTCTCTTGGTAGAGCCTTAAGATAACTGGGACCATGTGTTATTTGTTTATTTACTATTTTGGTTGTGCCATGGAGCAGTATTCGCCAGAAGTATATGTGAACTTAAAAAGACTGCACAGAATGGAGCTGAGTTATGTTTTCAAATGAATGCAACAAATCACATCCAAAATTCCTATTGTTTGGTTTTAGGGCCCATTTATTATTAGTTTTCACTAAGAAGCGTCCACAAGCAGTCTGAGGCAAGCAAAGCTGCTGAAATGGGGAATGGACTGTTGATCTGCCTTTCCAGGTTTGGCCCACACAAAGCTTTCAGGAGGTAAAGAAGGGATGAGTCCTAAATTGGGAAGAGGGATTTTGTGGGACTGGTAGTAATGTGTGCTTGGATGTAGCACACCACAGTGGGAGGAGAGGATACAGAAGCAGGGGTGGGTTTGGTCTCAGCACAGGGACCACACCAGGGTTTTAGGCTAATGTAGGAATAGTGCTGGGAGTCAGCCCAAGAGGCTTGCTGTAGAAAAAGTGGTGGGTTTGTGATTTAGAGTGACATTAAGGTCAGCCCTTGCTTTAAATGTGCTCCTTGTCTTTCAGTACCTTAGTATTTTTTAAAAATCTGCACTATTAATTTCCTCACTGAGCTTGCTATGGAAAGGATTGGTAGGTGGCTTGAGAGTTATCAAAAGTCCAGGGTCCAGACTAGGCTGACTTTATTCAAATGCAAGTCTTTCATCCACAGATAAAGTCTACTGTGATCAGGGCTGATCTAGACTGACAGAGCAATGCTGAGCTTTATCCAGATAAACAGAGACTGGCAGGTTTAAAGCTGTGAGTGCAACTCTTTTTATAAATACAAAATTTATTCAAAAGTTTCAAAATGAGGAAAATAATAAAATAAACGTTAACAATTTTATTCTAGGTGGTTAAGATGCCATTCTCTTTCAGTCAGCTATGTCTAGGATATTATGTCTGGTTGTAGGACCCACTCTGCCTGAAATATATTGAAATGCTATCCAGAGCTCAGAAAACAGTGTTGCAATTAATCACAAGGAGAAAAGACAACATAGACAGATAAGTGCAAATAATAAAAAAGGACAAACTTTTTGGACAGAAGAAAAGGATTTAATCTGTGAGAATTTAAATTAAAAAGAAAGGATTTTAGGTTCAGCAGCCGAATATCACAGAAAGAACTTCAAGAACAAAAGTGTTGTAAGGAATAAAGGTGGATTCAAACAAAACTGCAGATTTTTGTAGCTCTTTCTCCTTTTTAGTCATTGATTTGCTTCAAACATCCAACACAGTAACAACAGTATCTTCTTATCTTGAAAGTCAGAGATAAAATAGGGGTGGAATTTCAAACTGTAAAATATTGAAGCCTGTCAAAAAGACTAGCTGAATGTGTCCTTATACAATCTGAATAGAATTTCATGGGCCTCTAATAAACTAACAGGAGCATAGTTACAAATCTGAGACAAGGTAAATCTTGCACTGGAAAACCACACATCAATGTGTTTCAACAGCAAATTCAAACAGAATACAAAATGTAGCAATATGGATTCCAGGTGTTGGGAGCAAGATGAGAGAGGTGAGTGATTGGCTCTGTGTGTTTAATCATCTCTGTCTATATTCACCAGAGATGGTCCTAGGGCTGAGATCACCCATCTAATTTCACTTGTCTTGGCATCAGTCTGGAAGGAAGTATGGTCCCTAATGGAAAGACCGCTGCTTTATTTAGTAATCTGTGTAATCCTCTTGTGTAACATGAGCAATAATATCACATTACATACACTGTAACTAACAAATTACCAAGATTGATATTTTAAATCCTCAGAGGGAATGACAATTTACTACCCCCCTGTAAAGCATTTGTATAATTCAAGCTACAATTCCTAGCACAGAAGCAGAAAATAACATCATTAGGCTTTATCACAAACATTGTTTATATTTCTGCTGAGGTTATTCTGTTTTAACCTAGTTTTTTTTTGTCACAATTTAGTCAAAGACCACTAATAAATGCAGAAAATCTCTCAGAAAAACTGAAGTGTTAACTTGCTATACAGCTGCTAGGAAAAAAAAACTTTGTGATTTCCATTACATGATTTAATCTTAACATACACATATATTAAATGGGCAATAATGCCTCAGAGCCTAGAAGAGTGATGAACAAAACCAAGTATATTTTCTGTTCTGTATTAAAAAGGGATGTGTCTCTGGCTCACAGGGTAGGGAGATGATTCAAGTTTTCTATTTTTCCTATTTGTAGGATAGAAACTGATGTTACTACAACAGTGGTTGGGAAGATATGCTCAAGTAGGTGTTTGAATTTCCAGCTGGGCCCAAAATCAAGATCAAAACCAAATACACTGTGGGTAAGAGAATAAACATTAGCAGTGAGAACAAATCTTTTAAACAGAGATGTATGCAAGTGTGTGGGCAGTTTCACAGCCCTTAGGCTGCCACAACACAGTCCCTTAACTGTGTCACCTACCAGCAGTGTTTGCAATAAGAAAATGTGGGCTATTGAGTAGGAATCAACCCAAGCCATCACACAGCTGCCTCTGACTTCCTCAATTCCTTTCTTTCTTCTCACAGGCAGCAAAGTAGATCTTTGTACATTTGGAGCCAAAACTTCCCAGACCTGAGCACTGCAAAAATAGACTAGGGTGTTTGGATAGTTAAAGGTATACATGGCTTGATAGGACCACAGGATGCCTTACCTGGAATGACCATTCTGTTTTGGACAAACCTACACTGAGGTTGCTGCCTATGCCCACTCCTTGTCCAGCAGCCCTGTGTCAGCCAAAGCAGGTGATAGGAATAACAACACTCACTATATTTCTGCAGGAGACAGTGGGTCTTTAGGATAAAAATGTACAAATTTAATTAAATGTTTTCTTATGAAAAACAGTGACCCATCTTGATTTTTTTCTCAGCAGTAGTTTTGCAGGTACACTGGTAAGGATAAACTCAGGTGCTATTTAAATTAATATCAAAGTTTTATATTCTGTTTTTATAGTAGACTAAACCAGCTTAAATCAGTAATTTTTTCCATGGTTAAATTCTGTTTTTTTCATTTATGTCTGGCTATGGGATAGCTTCTCAGAACAGTTCAGTGACAGCCCTCTAATAGGCCTGTATAGGAGAATTACCTATTTCAGAATAATGAATGCTGGAGAATAGAAATGCGGCTTTTGTTTCTGATCACTGAACTCAGGCTAATTAATTTACCTCTCTGTGTCTGGTTTCTTTCCCCATCCTTTTTCTTTTAAAATTTTTATTCTTTATGTTATGGAATTCTGTCTTGCTATGAATTAGTATGGCCCTCATTGCAATAGTTTCTCACATCTAAGAATAATATGCAGATAGGAGGAAATCCCAATGCTATTGCAGCCAAATTCTCAGTGGTATAGAAGTGGTATAGAAGTTCTTCACCCTTATCCCCCTCCTCTTTTGTTTTTAGCTGCTGTAAACAGCTCTCCTGTACCTACATCTCAGCATGGAGGCAGCAAGTGGTTTCTGTTTTTCTTGCAAGACACAATATATTTTCTAATACTGTATTTGCTCTTCTGGAATTACTGAATTAGTCAACAGTTTGCAAATCTCAAGTGAGATATATTTAGTATGAAGAAAAAAAAGAAGAAATTATTCTTAATAGAATCATGTAAAAGTTCAGGCAGAAAGTACTGACTTGACAAGTCAGATCCGTGTGAATGTACTGTCTAACACCATCCTAGCAACACTGTCACTGCTGTCACTGATAATATAATGAGGGACAAGATCTGGAGAGGTAAGTCGCACATTTCCTGGGTATTTAGGCTTAGGTAGTTTGTCGGCAGCTGTGTGATCTTGTTAAACTGAGAAGCAAAATACAGTTGTTTTCAAAATTTATTGCCAGTGGTGGTGACAGATGCTTTTTGGAATGACACCCAGTGAGCTGTGAAACTTACATAGTCAAGTACTTGTTCACTTGTCCCTACTTCATGTGTTATGGGAATATGTTTACACTCAAGCTGTCTCAATTTTTTTATTTTTTTTTACCCATCTGGATGAGGTATTTTAAAGATGCAGCATTGCATGCATTGCAGAAGGCAGTAGTTGAAGTGGGCAGCTCTCCCTTGTTTTGTCTGGGAATTCTCCAAGGTTAGCTGTTTGTAGGGCACAGTTGATTTAGGTGTTGAATTTATTTTGTCAGATGCTGAAGAGGTAAACATAATGAAGCTGATATCTCCACCCTGAATCTTGAGACAGGCTGATGTGATCATTTTAACCACACACAAGCTGAGGATGCAGATAGTTCTCCACAGTTTGGTATGTCTTCCACATCCTCTGTTGGTGGGACATCCACCTGTTCTGGCTGGAGTCTGTGCCCTGAGATGGTTCTGGCCACTCTCACACCTCTTGTGTAGACTGGAAAGCTGCTCTTATGTACACCTGGGGTTTGTGTGAAGGCTGCTCTTACGTACACCTGTGGGGGGTGTCTGCAGTGGGTCAGCATCCCAATACTCCATCTTTCCAGTAACATTTTCACTGAATGCTGACAGAGGAAATGCTCTTCCTATCATGGTAATACTTCCCATTTTTCTACTCTGCATTAAGATTTATTATTTGCTTAATTATTTAATTATTTATTACAATTATTGTGTCTTACTCCTTAATGTGTTATGGGAAAACAGATTATTTTTCTTTGGACTGAAGAATTAGATCCTAAGGTGTCCCTTTACTGTAGACACATGCATGTTGCCTTTTTGCTTGTGCTCAGTATCATTTTATTATACCATGTTTCCTTTGAGGCTCTGAAAATGTCTTTGCAACTTTCCTTCTCTGGCTTTGCTCATTCTATATTGCTTCTCAGATTACATTAAAAGGAAAAAAATAACATTATAGGGCAGAGGTAAGTGGAGCTGTAGAACAGTGAATGTCAACACATGAAAAGGTGTGCTGTACTTCAGTGTACTTTGAGTTACTGTAATGACTCTCAATACAGGGCTTTCTTTTCACTTGTGTGACTTGAATAAGGATTGAACTCATAGTACCACAAGGAAACCCCGAATTTAGGATAACAGAGGCTGCTTTTCCTGTAAATCTGAGATAACTCCTATTCCAAATCCCTTTTGAGCTGACAGAGATTAAAGATAGTCCAGAGCCTAGTGCAACCTCAGACTTTTCTGTAGACTTCCAGATCTGGGAAAAACATAGAATCTCATTTTTCCTTCTTTTTCTCTTCATCTGTAAAATGGAAATAGGATTTCACTTCTTCAGATATGCACCGTAACTGTGCACGTATCTGTTAGTTTTTTTGAGAAGTTCAGATATTAGTAATAGAAAATTTGTAAAACCCTAAAACAGGCAGATGTTTGTGCCGAAGAATATTAGGAGAGAAATGCATACAGACTTTAAAAAAGAAAGTGCCTTTTCATTGTAGAGATGACTAACAAAATGTTTGTCTAGAAAGGAGTTTATTTGGAATAGTTCAGAAAAAGTTAAAATGGAGAGGTCCTAAGAAGTTAGGGAATGGACTAAACTGCTCCATTCCAGAAAAAATTATTTTGTGTTAATGATACATGGTCCAGTTAATCTCTGTCTGTCTTTCATCTCATACTTTCAGGAAGCCATTTTGTAAACTTAAATACCCCAAATAGTCCACAAAGATGAAACTTCTGCAGGTGATTATTCCCCACTGCAGGGACATCTCTTTTGATTCTGGGTTTCTATTTTGCAGCTCTCCCTTGTGGCATCCTGTGCTACAATCTCCTTTCCAGCAGTCTTTCAAGTTAATATTCAAACAGCTCTTGGAAACTTTTTATGTCAAAGCGCAAAAAAAAATAAAAAAAAATAAAAAAAAATAGCCCAAACCCAAAACCCAACCAAACCCCAAGACAACTGTCACAGCAGGATGCATTAAGGGACTACTGATGGGAGAACTGAGCCAATCAGCTTTTCCCTGATTCTGGATCCAGGGGAAGGAGGAGGATAGTGCTGGAAGGCAGTTTTATGGAGTGAGATGGGATGCTTCAGAAGAGCTCCAGCACACAGGACATTTCCTAACCTCCAGGGAGCATCCCCTGAGGTAACCTGGCAGTAACTTTCTCCTCAAGCTTATTCCTCTGTATATCTTTTGACAGTTTGTTTCTCTCATTGACTCCCTTGCAGATAGATTTCAGCTCAGAAACTAAACTCAGGAATGGGTTGTTTCCTACTTTTTTGTGGTTTTTTTGTGGTTTTTTTTTTATTTCCACTCTGATATATGCATTTTTGATAACTGGACAGAAATGCAAGTCTAGGATTTCCTAGGTTTTGATACTATTTTGTGTGCCAGTTCTCTAGGAGAACTGGAAAGAGAAAACTTATCTGATTAACAAATGTAAAATCCAGGTACAAATAATACCCTAATTCAGGCATGGAATGTCCCTCTTGGAGTGTGCTGGGTTCTTATTTGTCCAGTACTTAGTGCCCAGTTTTGTGTGAATGGGCACAGTGTCTGTTTTGTTACAGAGCTTTCCTAAATGCAGATGTAGAAGATGTAGAAGGGGATACATTACCTCCGCTTGGAGCATCAGTGGCTCCAGCACTTTCAGTCTGCCAGGCTCCAGGGCAGGGCAGGATGGGAAGGGGTTGGATGTTTATCCTGGGAAGGGCAGGGCTGACAGAGTCATGCTCTCATGCTGTTTACTCCAGAATAATCCGTAGTTTGCAGTGCAGGGTGCAGGTGAAGAGGCCTCTGTGCCCCTTCTGTTGCGGAGGATGTGTCCCTCTGGTTGGCACTTCTGCTGGTGGAGAGGAGAATACATGACTAAAGTTAAATACAGACTTTAAAAGTAAACAAAAAAATAGGGTATTTCTCTTTATGGTAAACTTGGGGAAAAAGTGAAAACAGGTGTTTAAGGAAATAATGTAAAACAAAGGAGTGCATTTAATTGTTAATTCTGTTAATGAAAGGCGATGCTATGGAACCTGACATGATAATGTTGACTGGCAAAGGAAGACATTATATGAAGTGTTGTGGCTGTATGAAATACCTTTATATTCATTAATAGCATCTGTTTCCATACTTGGCTATACTTGGCAGGAGATGATCAAAGTCACGTGTAAAGCACTGACTGTCTGGGATGTGGGGAGAACTCCACTTCCTGCTCCCACCCGGCACACACAAGGCACACTCATGTCGGTGGCTTGGGCGCAGGACTGTGGTGAGGAGGGATCATTTTGTTAGACAGAGCCACTCTCCTCAGAGCAAACACTGTGTCTGCCACTAAGCTTTCTCTCTGTGCTGTGGTTTTCTCCATAGCAGCAGTGGTCTCTCTGTCTGCCATCCATCCCAGAGTGCTGCCGACTACGCACATCTTCCTGCTCCAGGCTCTTCAGCTGGGTGGACTACATGAGTGTACATCTGCAAGAAATTGTGGGTAGATATCTCAGACAGGGAAGAAAAGAGTGCTTAAATTGACAAATCAGTCCAAACCACTAAGGTTATAACTCCTTTTTTTCTTCTTCAAGCAGAACAGTAAAACAGACCTGTTATTGGCAGCTCATTAGTAGTGAGACAGAGGCAATATGTACCATGACATCAGAGTGCTGCTTGACCCACATCTATCATTTTGTTAGAGATCCTTATTTCTGGGCCTTTCCAAATGCCTATAAGACATGCAGAGTGTAGAATTCTGTGGCATAAATAAGATACAGATTTTCTACTTTTGATGTGTTTAGCACATTTTTGTTACTTCCTTTAATACTGCAGACCTTACATTCTTTGAGCATTAGGAGAACAAAAGGCTAACACGAGAAAGAAAAAAAAAAGAGAAAAAAAAAGTATTCACTAAAAAGTATTATTCTATTCAGCTATTTAGCATTTAAAATTTAGCCTCTTTCTTAAAGGAAGACAGAATGAATACCACAGCTGAGTAACTTCAGATATGAAAAGTTCCTTCATTAAATCAGTTGTTCTTTAATTCATAATAGAACTTAAATAAAGAATGACTTACAGGCAGCTGTTTCTAATATTGAGTCCCCACCACACATGAAAGGAACATTATTCTTACAGCAGCCTCTCTACCCTTGGGTGTTATCAGCCGAACATGTTTTGAACCCACCTAATGCATTTGAGGTAGCTTAGGTTTATTTTTCTTTCAATAAAATAAATGGTTTTGTAATTAAATTTCTGCACTGACTGTGCTTAATGGCTACACTGACAAGTGCTAATGTATGGGAAGAGAATGAGTTTGAAATGAAACATGCTGTTTTCCAATCTGCAAGCAATTTTGCACTGGGCAATCAAAATCTTGTGCCAGTGAAACATTTTCATTAATCTGCTAACTTAGCGCACACTGCCCACTCAGCAGCACAAGGACACTTTTTTTAAAAAACAAAAATATCATGAAGTGAGCCGTTGTTTGAAACCATTTTGTGGTCTCTGGCAGCAGGGCCTGTGGAAATTCGCTGACTTTACACCATGAAATGTTGCAGCTGTCTCAAAAGGGACTGGCTGCTTCAATGTTTGAGTTCTTGGCAATAACTCAGCTTTCAAATCTGTCTCTTTTTTCCCCTTAGCTAAATTTATTTTTGAATAAATCTTCTCATAGAAAATTGAGAGCAGCTATTACATATTTGGACTTCATTTATGAAAACCACTTCAAGTCATCAAGAAGTGCATCAATCCAACTCTAATGTTTACAATACTTTCATGACTGGGAAACTAAACAATACTGTATTTCCCCCATTATTTTAATTTAGGTAGCACTGCATTTAAACACAAATGTGACTTTTTAATTTTTATTTTTTTTATTGCCAGACTTAAAAAAATTAAAATAAAAAAAAAGCAAAAACCCAACCCTGCAAAGATTTGCTTTTGTGTAACTTCCTGGAAGCTGCCTGCAGAATCTGGCCACTAGAGGGGTGGCTTTCCAACAGCAGTGCTTTGCAGTCAGCATCCCAGCGCTCTTTTGTCAGGGAAAAGGCTTAACTAAAAGCAACCTGAAGCTGTAACACCTTAGATAGGCATGTAGGATTCCAGCTTTAAAAAAAAATACCCTTTTTTATAGCCCAAAGTATACAGGCATATATATATCAAAAAATTGGTTTTGAATGTTAGAATGTGGCAGTTATTCTCTCTCCCTGAGGAAAATGTCCTAGAAGTAACCCAGAAGAAATTATCCACTAGTCAGTCTTAAACAGCATATATATTTAAGTCAGTAGATATCTAGGATCTCATTGTTAAAGAGGATCACATTGTTTCCCTCACCACATCCTATTTCATTTGGGACAAATTGCTGGTCAGAATTTTAGCCCTTTTGCTGTGTGCAGGATTTAGAGTAAGAGACCTACAACAAACTAAAATATTCCTCTTTTGAACAGAATAATAGGGAATCAATGCCCTGGTGCAGA